CCATAGAAAAGTATAAACTCCTTTCCTGCAGATACCATTGGCCTAGAGCGACGCAGAGGATGATCACAAAGTTGGCACCCCCTGGCCTCTATCCCCAGAGAACACCTAGGTAGGCCCCTAGATGTGTGCCAAACTAGAAACCTGCCCCTCAGTCTGAATTCTTTCATAGGAAGACTGAGATCATAGTTCAGTTTCTATCTGCAGTGTACCCCAAGGGTGGTAGCCAACCCTCAACTGCCTGCGTTTGTCACAATCTTGTGGGACCTATGAATGTAAGCCTCACTGGACATCAGATCAAAGAATGTTCTCTGGGTAGCAGCAACAAAATGCAGTGCACCAGACATAAAAACTGGGCTCCAGATCCTTGTACGAACTTCCTTCTAGCAATGACCAGTGCTCTGGAGTGCAGCAGAGGGAGGACCTGAAATAGTGCCTGTCCTCCAAGGTCTTTGTAAAGGAGTATAGTTGTCCTTCAATTGTTTAATTAGAAGTCTGCCCCTCACATTACAGCAACAAAGATTACTCTAATACAGGAAGATGGGTACTTCAGTCTGTGACTCTCTCCTGTGCCCTGGGAGTGGTGTTCTGTTAAGAACTCTATTTGTTCCAGTCCTTTAGGACCTACTGAGCACGACAACCTGAGATCTAAAGGAGTCTCCTGGGTAGCAGCTGTAAAACTCAGGGAGTGTTTAAAGAGGGTATTTCCTTTCCTGGAAATACCAGTGAGCTGGAATGATCAGAGGGAGGGCATAAAGATGATGCTTGCTGGCCTATGTCTTTGTTTGTTTTTTCAAGATTTATTTATTCATGAGAGTCATGGAGAGAGAGGCAGAGGCAGAGGCAGAGGGAGAAGTAGGCTCCCTGTAGAGAGCCTGACGTGGAACTCAATCCCAGGATCCCAGGATCATGACCTAAGCCAAAGGCAGACACTCAATCACTGAAGCACCCAGATGCCCCACAAATCATGTATTTCTTAAAGAAGATTCTGAAAGATCCCAGCTTAGAAACAACTTGAGAAGCCAGATGCCCCTGGACTCTGTCTTAATTTTTTTTAAGATTATATTTATTTATTCATGAGAGACACACAGAGAGAGGCAGAGACACAGGCAGAAGGAGAAGCAGGCTCCCTGCAGGGAGCCTGATGTGGGACTCAATCCTGGGACCCCAGGATCACACCCTGGGCGAAAGGCAAGTGCTAAACCGCTGAGCCACCTGGGGGTCCCTGGCCTCTGTCTTTAAAGAGAGTTTTAGTAAGCCCCTAGATGTGTATAAAATTTAATACTTGCCCCTCAGGCCAATGCTTTAAGATAGGCAAATAAGTCTCTCACAGAATTTCTGGGTACTTTTCAGTTGGCTCCCTCTATGTGGGGCCCTGGGGTGGGTGAGTCCATGCATGTGGACCCTTTAAGAACTATTTCTCAGTTAGCTGCTGCCTGTGGTCTTGTGAACACAAGCCCCATGGCTTTCAAAGCTAGATGTCTTGGAGCTTGTCTGTCAGGTCCCAATCCTAAAATTGGGGTGCCAGATGTAAGGTTCAAATCCTTCACTCCTCACGGAAAAGCTCGGGGTTTGGCTCTCCAATTGGGACCCTCCCAATTGTGAGTCATCATGCTGGGGATGAAGTTTATGGTCAGATTGTGTCTCAGTTCCTTCTACCCACTTTAATGTGGGATTTTTTCTCATTTGCCCAATGTGTAGGAATCACTCAGCTAGATTTGGGAGGGTTTTTCAGAGAAAATTATTCCATATGTAACTGTAGATTCAGTGTGCCCAAAGGGAGAGGTGTATTCAGGATCTCCTACATCTCCATCTTAAACCACTTCCATAAGGAAAATATTTAATCATGATTATGGTTGGCTTATGGAAATTGAAGATCCAGTCCAACTATATCTGGACCTCAGCAAGGTTATTCTACAAGAGACCTTATGCGGTTCTTGTGGACAAGATGGGGAAATTGACCAGTTAGATGGTTTATGAGATAGTTGGTAATTTCATTAAATAAGCTTACCCAAGTATCAGATTCAGGACTTTGTTCTCAGGCCTATTTCATTACTTATTTCTGTTACCAACTAGTTTAATGGTTTAGGGGATATAGTACAAATTCACAACTGGAGTTACTCAGGTGATAATGATAGTGAATCTGCATTAGCACAGATTGATCATTCAAAAAGAATCCAATATGCTAGGTTGAATCTAATAATATGACATTTAGTAGTGATAACCAAAAAAGATCCTGGCCTTAGATCAAAAGAATCAGCTGTACAAGTACAGACAAATTAGAAATGTTTTTAAAATTACTGAATATTTGGGGTGCCTGGGGGGCTCCATTGATTGAGTGTCCAAATCTTGATTCTAACTCAGGTCTTGATTTCAGGGTCATGAGTTGAAACACCACACTAGGTGTGGAGCCTACTTAGAAAAAAAATGAGTGAATATTTTATTCAATTTTGAAATTAGTTTGAGTCAAAACTATGACAGAACCATCAGTATTGTTAGTGAGACCACGACTTGCATTGATAGAAGTCTAAGGTAGAATGAGACTGTTGTAAGTCTTGCCAATCACAGTGCTGATCAAACATATATGAAATAGTGTATTTGCTTCAGAGATGATCTTGTTAGAATATAAAAACATTTAAATGTAAAAAAAAAAAAAACAAACAAAAAACATTTAAATGTGCCCAGATGAAAGAGAAAGATGGTAAGGGTGTTCATGTCTGTCATAATAATAATACCTACTTTTAATTTTACCCCCTTTGTATGCCCTTTGAAAAGAAATCTCAGCAGGCTGTTTTCTTTAACTGATATCCTTTGAAACACCATAATAGGTGAATAGCCATAGTTGTTCTGAAATCAGACCACCATGATTCAAGTCTCTCCTTGACAATTTCATAGCTAATTCAGTTGAGTTCTTTATGACTCTCCTCTTGCAAATCCAAAGACTGAAGCTTGCTTGAGGTAGAATTATTGTTAAATGGCGCACATCTTGATGTATCATGATGAAATTCATTCAAGGGTAAAGAGAAAATAATCTAAATCTTTAAAAATTAGTAGGGAAAAAAAATCCTAGAAGGTTAAATGAGCATTTTAATATCAACATTGGAAGCTTCAAAAAAATGGAAGTCTATCGATGAAAGTTACAGATTGTAGGCCAAGAATCTATACCTAGAGAAGGTATCATTTACAAATATTAATTAGAGGAGCACCTGGGTGTTTAGTTAAGCATCTGCCTTCTGCTCAGGACATGATCCTGGGGTCCTGAGATCATTGGGGTCCCTGCTCAGCAGAGTCTGCTTCTCTGTTTGCCCTCCCCCAGCCGTTGTGTGCTCTCTCTCTCAAATAAATAAGTAAAATCTTTTTAAAAACCTTTATTGAAGGGCAGCCCTGGTGGCGCAGTGGTTTAGTGCCGCCTGCAGCCCGGGGTGTGATCCTGGAGACCCGGGATCGAGTCCCACATCGGGCTCCCTGCATGGGGCCTGCTTCTCCCTCTGCCTGTGTCTCTGCCTCTCTCTCTCTCTCGCTCTGTGTCTCTCATGAATAAATAAAAAATAAAAAAATCTTTTAAAAAATTTAAAAAAATAAAAAATCTTTATTGAAGAAAAACATTAGTATATGCAAGGATTAAAATTGTATAATCCACATAACAAGTCTACAGAAACTACTGGAAAATTTCTCTAATCAAACAAAAAAGAAAATGTGAACTTAGGGAGATGAACATGGTAATGAGTGTGTGTGTGTTGCACAAGGCTTTTTATAATCAAATCATTTTATGGAAAAAAACTAGTACTAGTCTGGTATTAAAAGTACTAAATTATCTTTAAATCATCAACAAAAAGGAAAAATTTTTCTAGAAAATATATGTAAATGTGTTATAAACAACATAATACTTAAAGATATATATCAAAAATATTCAGTATATAAGAATAACTCAATAAAATACAACTATATTATACCTCAATAAAAATAGGACATTTGGTGTTTAAAAAGAATCAAACTATAATGGCAATATATTCACTTTTATTATAAAATATACATATTATGACATATACGACATATTTGAAAGCACCTGATATATATGGTATATATGACATAATATGTAAATATGACATTTTCAAACATCTCATGTACATGATAAATACATATTATGATATTATATGAGTTACATTATATGATATATATGTCATATATACCATATATAGTATGACATGCATGACATTTTTAAATACTTATATATGTCATATGTATCATATGTATGACATATTTGAAATACCTCATTCTCCAATTAAAATTGGACATAACAATCAAATGTTCACCATAATCTTAATTAACTATTTGGATATTAAGAAATATTCTCAGTACATTTCTCTGATTAAAAAGAGGAAAACTTGCCTCAGTGACTGGTTTCAGGCATTAATAGGAATATTATTTTTCTGTATAATGTGGTGAGTGAAAAATTTTTGTGTTTCTCTATATTTCTTACTCTACTTATAATAAACCAAAAAATAAATTAATGAATGTTAATCTACAAAAAAATCCATCTCCCTACATTTAGTTGGTTTGATTAAAAAAGGCAGAGCTCTAAAAAAAAAAAAAAAAAAGGCAGAGCTCTAATTTCTAATGAGAACAGGAAAGAAAAAGAAGATAGATGATATGAGCAATAAAATCAGTACCTTAATCTCTCAACCAAGATTCTCATTTAATCAGCCAGATCTAAAATATACATATTCAAGAATCTATTAAATGGTCTGTACAGTTTAATCTGTCAAGATTCCTTGTAAATATACCCAAAAGATATAATTTTAACTTCATTACCAATCACCTCATCAGATATCCCAGTCATCTGACTTTTATAACTTTTCTTGTCCTAGAAACACAAATTCAATGAGCAAACTGATGTTAATAAGAGGATATAATTCACCAATGAAACAATTAATTTCTAATTTGATTTTTTTATTAAGGTAAAACATTTATACTGCTTTTGTTTGTTTTGTTTGTATTGCTAGTGAAGCCTTGTGATTTTCCAGAAATAAAACATGGAAGTCTAGATGAGCAATATAGATCATACTTTCCAGTAGCTGTAGGAAGAAGTTTTTACTATCGCTGTGATGATGATTTTGTGACTCCTTCAGAAAGATACTGGGAACCCATTCAATGTACACCAGAAGGATGGATGCCAGAAGTACCATGCCGCAGTAAGTAAACCTTTTTATAATTGTGTATGTGTAAATATTTCAAATAGTAGAGGGGATAAAACACATTAGTGACTGTAATTAAGCTTTGTATGACAAAAATAAGGCCTAGAGATGAATTTTATGAACAAAAAGACCAATACAGGTTTTCCCCTTTATGAGGAGCTCTCCATAAAAATCCCATTAGAGATAAAGATAGCTTTCCCAAAACAACCTATATCATTCACACATATTTTAATTATAAAAACTGAAGATAAATAATACTGAATATTGTTTTTTTTTTCTTTTTATGCCTTTGTAGTAGCTTTAGTTTTTCTTAGGTTATATGTTATTTTTGAATACTTAGGCATTATAGTTTAAACATTGTACAAATAGTTTTTAATTTACTATTTTTACTGAATTTATGGTTTTTCAAAAATTTTTGTTCATTGTTCTTATTATTTTTAGGAAGATGTACGTTCCACTATTTGAAAAATGGACAAAAGCCACAGAGAAAAAACTATTACCAAGGTCAATCTGTAAGAGTTAACTGTTATTATGGTCACAGTCTTCAAAATGGGCACAATATAATGACCTGTACAGAGGATGGTTGGTCCCCTCCTCCCGAATGCGTTCCTCTCAGTAAGTAAATGGTCTGAGATCCCAGTATATTTATGGTTTTCTAACCCTCATCTATATTAACTATAGCAACATATTTATATCAACTTTTGTATTTCCACTAATGGATATACTTAATTTTATTTTTGCCAAGTATGTATGAGTGGAATACAAACTTCTTAATACATGTATAGCAAAATAAATGTCTACTGATTAGTATTAGTCAAGAAAACAATGAAAGGACCATAAAGGAAAAACCTGTAATAATAGTGATGCCACCAGTGGAGGGGTGAAGATGGCAGTGGAGTAGGAGGAACCTATGCTTGCCTTGTCCCATGAATATGCCTAGTTAACTATCAAATCACTCTAAATACCCCAGAAGTTGACCTAAACACTGGCAGGATAAATTCCACAACTAAAGGTCGAGAAGAGGCCACATAGAAGAAGTAAGATGTACAGAGACTCGGTTTGGGAGAGAAACGGGTTGTGGCCACTGAGGTGGGGAGAGAGCTGTGGTTACAGAGAAAGGTAAGAGACAGATTTGACGCAGAAGGGAGTGCATAGGAAAAAGAATCACCATAGCGATTGTCTTGGAAAGTGAGAGGGGTCAAATTTCCTAAGTTCTTATAACCAGTGGGGCTTAAAGCCTGGGCTTTTAAAGGTCAATGTGCTTGGCTCTGGGATAGCTCAGTTCCAAGGGGGAAGTTTATAGCAATACTGGCCTACCTCAAGAAGGAAGAAAAATTTCAAGTAAACAACCTAACCTTACACCTAAAGGAGCTAGAAAAACAAGAAACAACACCTAAAACCAGCAGAAGGAAGGAAATAATAAAGATTAGAACAGAAATAAATGATCTAGAAACTAGAAAAATAACAGAGCAAATCAATGAAACTAGGAGCTTATTCTTTGAAAAAAAATTTAATAAATTTGATAAACCGCCAATCAGATCTATCAAAAAAAAGGACTCAAATAAATAAAATCACAAATGAGAGAGGAGAAATAATAACCAACACCACAAAAATACAAACAATTGGGCAGCCCCTGTGGCGCAGCGGTTTAGCGCCGCCTGCAGCCTGGGGTGTGATCCTGGAAGCCCGGATAGAGTCCCACGTGGGGCTCCCTGCATGGAGCCTGCTTCTCCCTCTGCCTGTGTCTCTGCCTCTCTCTCTGTCTCTATGAATAAATAAAATCTTTAAAAAATAAAAAAATTTAAAAAATACAATCACAAGAGAATATTCTAAAAAAAAAACTGCATGCAAACAAATTGGACAACTTAGAAGAAATGGATAAGTTTCTAGAAACATAAACCTACCAGAATTGAAACAAGAAGAAAAAACTTGAACAGACCAATTACCAGCAAAAAAAATGGAATCAAAAAACTCCCAATAACAAAAGTCCAATACCAGATGGCTTCATAGGTGAACCCTACCAAATATTTTTTTAAAGATTTATTTGTTTATTTTTAGAGGAGGAGGGGCAGAAGGAGAGACAGAGAATCCAAGTAGACTCCCTGCTGAGCACAGAGCCCGACATAGGGCTCAATCTCATGTCCCTGAGATCACCACCTGAGCCAAAGGAAATCAAGAGTCAGATGCTTAATTGATGAGCCACCCAGGCACCCCTCTACCAAATATTTAAAGAAAAGTTAATATCTATTCTTCTCAAACTATTCCAAAAAACAGAAAAAGAAAGAAGACTTCCAAATTCACTTTATGAAGACAGCATTATCCTGATACCAAAACTAGAAAAAGAAACCACAAAAAAAAAGGGACCTATAGGTCAATATTTCTGAGGAACATAGACACAAAAATTCATAACAAAATATTAACAAATGGAATCCAACAATTCATTTAAAAAAATATTCACCACCATCAAGTGGGATTTATTCCTGGGTTTCAATACTGGTTCAATTTTTTTTCCAGTCCATATTTTAATTTTTTTGAAAAATTCCTGACATTACAGAACTAAACTGAAATGTATTAATATTCCACTCTTACATTTCCATGACAAAAATTTCATGAGCCAAAAAAAAGGGGGTGGGAGAAACTTATAAAACTAAATATGGATCTCAGTATTAACAGCTGAACAGAGAAAGGAATTAAAACGCTTTAATTAAAAAATCATGAGTGGATGATAAAGTGTGTAGAAACTGAAAATTTACAAACTATTTAAAACCTGGAATCGCTGACTGGTTCAATATTCACAAATCAATATAATACATCACATCAGTAAAAAGAAGGATAAGAACTTCAATAGATGCCAAAAGAGGAATTTGACAAAGTACAATATCCATTCATGAAAAAAGTCCTCAACAAAGTATATTAAGAGGGAATATACGGGCAGCCCGGGTGGTTCAGCGGTTTAGCGCCGCCTTCAGCCCAGGGCATGATCCTGGGGTCCCGGGATCTAGTCCCACGTCCGGCTCCCTGCGTGGAGCCTGCTTTTCCCTCTGCCTGTGTCTCTGCCTCTCTGTGTGTGTGTGTCTCTCATGAATAAATAAATAAATAAATCTTTAAAGAAAAAAAAAAGAGGGAGCATACCTCCACATAATAAAAGCCATTTATAAAAACCCACAGCTAACATCATCCATAATGGCGAAAAACTGAATGCTCCTCCCCTGAGGTCAGGAATGAGACAAGGGTGTCTCACCACTTTTATTCAGTCGAGTACTGGAAGTCCTAGCCACAGCAATCAGACAACAAAAAAGAAAGATAATGAATCCAAATCAGTAAGGAGGATGGAAAATTTTCACTATTTGCAGATGACACGATGTTGTATATAGAAAACCCAAAAGACTCCATCAAAACTTGCTAGAACTGATAAATTCAGTAAAGTTGTAGGTTACAACATCAAAGTACAGAAATCTATTGCCTTTCTATACAGCAATAATGAAGCAGCAGAAAGAAAAATTAAGAAAACTGTCCCACTTGCAGTTGCACCAAAAATAATAAAATACCTAAGAATAAACCTAACCAAAGAGGTAAAGGATCTGTACCCTGAAAACTCTAAAATACTGATGAAAGAAATTGAAGATGACACAAAGAAATGGAAATCCATTCCATGTTCAGTGGATTGGAAGAACAAACATTGTTAAAATGTCTATACCACTCAAAGCAATCTACACATTCAATGCAAACCCTATCAAAATACCAACAGCATTTTTCACGGAACTAGTACAAACAATCCTAAAATTTGAATGGAACCACAAAAGACCCTGAATAGCCAAACCAAGATCGAAAAAGAATAGCAAAGCTGGAGGCATCACAGTTCAGACTTCAAGTTGTATTACAAAGTTGTAGTGATCAAAACAGTATGATATTGGCACAAAAATAGACATATAGATTGATAAAACAGCATAGAAAACACAGAAATAAACCCACATTTATACGGTCAAATAATCTTTGACAAAGCAGGAAAGAAAATCCAACAGGAAAAAGACGGTCTCTTCAACAAATAGTGCTGGGAAAACTGGACAGAACATGCAAAAGAATGAAACTGGACCACTTTCTTACACCATATACAAAAATAAATTCAAAATGGTTGAAAGACCTAAATGTAAGACCTGAAATCACAAAAATCCTGGACGTAACTTTTCTGACATCACCCACAGCAACTTTCTAATAGATCCCCTGCAGCAAAGGAAACAAAAGTAGAATGCCTTTTGGGATTACATCAAAATAAAAGCTTCTGCACAGCAAAGGAAACAATCAACAAAACTAAAAGGCAACTTGTGGAATGAGAGAAGATATTTGCAATTCACATGTCTGGTAAGGAGTTAGTATCCAAAATCTATAAAGAACTGATAAAACTCAATACCAAAAACCCAAATCATCCAATTTAAAAATGGGCAGAAGACATGAAAAGAGATTTCTACAAAGAAGACACACAGATGGCCAACAGACATGAAAAGATATTCATCATCACTTATCATCAGGGAAATGGAAACCAAAACTATCACCTCACAGCTGTCAGAATGGCTGAAATCAACAACACAGGAAACAACAGGTGTTGGCAAGGATGTGGAGAAAGAGGAACCCTCTTGCTCTGTTGGTAGGACTGCAAACTGCTGCAGCCACTCTGGAAAACTGTATTGGAGGTTCCTCAAAAAGTTAAAAATATAATTACCATATAATCCAGCTACTAGGTATCTACTCAAAGAACAAACAGACTAATTCAAATGGATACATGCAACTTTATAAAAGCATTATTTAGAATAACCAAGATATGGATGCAGCCTAAACGTCTACTGATTGATGAATGGATAAAGAAGAGGTGATATAGATTAAATAGATCGATCGATCGATAGATGGATGAAAGATAGATAAAACGGAATATATAATGGAATGTTACTGAACCTTAAAAAATGAAATCTTACCATCTGTAACAACATGGATGAAGCTAAAGAATATAATGCTAAGTAAATAAGTCAGAGAAAAATAAATACCATACGATTTCACTCGTGTGGAATATAAGAAACAAAACAAACGAGTAAAGGAAAAGTGAGAAAAAGAGAGAGAGAGAGACAAATAAAGAAAAAAGACGAGGGACGCCTGGGTGGCTCAGCGGTTGAGCACCTGCCTTTGGCTCAGGGCGTGATCCTGGAGTCCCGGGATCGGATTGAATCCTACATGGAGCCTGCTTCTCCATCTGCCAAAGTCTCTGCCTCTCTCTGTGTGTTTCTCATGAATAAATAAATAAAATATTTTTTTTGAAAAGACTAACTGTAAGAACAATATGATACCAGAAGGGTGAGAGGTGGTGGGGGCAGGAGAGGTGGGTGAAACAGGCGATAGGGATTAAGGACTGCCCTTGTTATGATGATCACTGGGTGATATATGCAATTGTTGAATCACTATATCATACACCTAAAACTAATATAACACTGTACATTAACCAACTGGTATTAAAATTAAAACTTAAATACATACATTCAATCTAGAAAAAAATAGGATGACATCAGCAAAATGACAGAATGCAAGTTTCTATTCTTTCTGGCAAAGAACACCAATTTTGACAATCACCT